ATTTATTAAAATAATAATGTTTTTTAAATTAAATTTACCTGATTTGAAAAACAAAAATTACTTAAATTATTAATCCGAATTTTTCGGATTGTTCGAGTTCACTGGACCATCATCATCACTTATCGGTGGTGAAGAATGAACAGTTATGTCATTACTAGAAATAACTTAAAGTAATGCATACATTCTAAAAATGAAGCCTGTCTATCTGTATCTATATGTTGTTGATTAAATGAAGAATAAAAAATGGCATTATATATTCAACCTCGTTGATATTTGCCTGTTTTGTCTACAAATATGGACGGATTTTAAAAATTCATCGATCCTAACTATAAATTTAACAGCATCAGTAGATAATCAATGCAATTACATCGTAAAAAGATTTTAGAAATATATTGTGGTTATTTGCTGAACCATATGGTAATGATTGCCAGTTCTAATCATCATGATATTGGTACCTATCGCATATCTAAGAATGGTCAAAATAGACATAAATAAGTAATGAAGTAACATGTATATATGCAAAGTAGATAATAAACTACGTGCCTCTTCGAAAGTATCAATAACATCCCTTCGAAGAAGGTTGGTTCCATTTTAACAATCACATAGACCTTTCTTTAATATCTGTCCAAACCACGTATACATTCCATCTGTGACAAATCGACAATTGATGAGAGACCTAATCTGTATTTACTATGTTAGAAATTTCATTTCATTAAAATATATTTCGAAAAAGTAAGAGAACATACCGGATAACACGTTTCATAAATTGTGTTCGTTCTTTCTCATTTCTCCGAAAATCAATATTATTACCTCAGCCATAGTTTTAACAAGATCAACAATTCGTCAGATCACTCTGAAATAATTATATAAGAAATATTGCATGGTGGAGTATTATATATGTTTTAGGTTCATCTTAAATGCACTCTTGGAGTCAGCTAAATAGGTAGATCTTGTGATTTGTTAAAATAAATCCTCGATTTTAGTCCGTTCTGTAGCTACATCATCGTTCTGAAGTAATGTAGATCATTAGTAACCAATCGCACCCGTACCTTCATCTTTGTCCCTTTTTGATACGAATTAAAAGAAGTTCCCGCTAATACTCCCAGTTCCAACCAGGTTTCCTATCAGGTTTCCTATAAAGGTTGGATTATTAAGGTATTATTTTAAATTGGCATGTTCATCTCATCAGGTCAGAGGACATCAGGCAACCGAGCCTTGAATGACAATGACAGCTTCTTGTCATGTCGCTATTCTACAAATACATTTCCGACAAGTTTTGATTTACCTCTTAAGAAGCAACTTTGCCATTTCATGTTTCTTATTTTGTTCTTATTCACAACCAACAGGAAAATAAGTGCCAATTGTAAATCATCAGTCGGCTGTAATATCAACAATGAGTGGAGGTAAAGATCAATTTTTTTGCTAAACTATCAGCTATTTAGACGTAATTTGAGTGTCCCTTGGCCTTCACAAGATAGCATTAAGGTACCTAAGGTACTGATCTATTTTATCGATTGAAAGAATCAGCATTATACTCGTCTAGAAACCTGTAATGCACCATGCGGAGGAATTTGTCTGTTATCGTTTTTTGATATAAAATAATGTTGAAGAAGGGCCGTATACAGTATATATAAACAAACATGTATACGATTTAGATGAAAACATGATTATGGTTACATGGATGATGTGATTCATTGCATTTATAATTTAAGTATGCGTAGAGAGAGAAGTTGTATTCATTTTTTTTAAACGAAATAAAATTTTTCGTGATTTTATAATTGAAAAAATACCGGGAATTAGAATTTAAGGAACCTGACGACAATATTCGTCCCAATTTTCCTAGCACATCATTCATATCTCTGATAATTCTATGATACCACAACAAAGAATGCGGGTAAAAATATGGTATTACCGTATCAAACCCACAAAACATAACCCCACAAGAATGCCATAATTAAATCCGCCGTATCATGAATTTTACGTGCAATACCCCACCAACCTTCTGTTAGTATTGATTAGTTTTAAATATATGAAGAATATTTTAAGGTATTGTGGGAAAGTATAACGTGGAATGTACGCGCCACATTTTATCATTCTGAACCCATTTTTTTTTTGTGAATTTGCGGTATCCCTGAAAGGATTGAATTGTTTACGAGAAGATCAAATTTCCATCTTTGAAGTGATAAATTTTAAATGGTATAGAACCATTATTAATGCATAACAGAAGTAAGTCCATCCCCGGGAAATGATGATCCAAAACAATGTGAATGGTACTAAAAATCAATCATATGTTACGCAGTAAGATTACATAATTACCTCCGGCAAGGTTCCAGAAAATCCAAACTATAAAAAGAATTTTGGATACCCGATACCTTTCATATGTTATATCCCATGTGGTTGGAATACCTTGGCACAAGCATTAACATACAAGAAAGGTTTATTTAATATATAAAACTTCTTTAAATGTAAAAGATATATAACCAAAATGGAAATTACACACGAAACACCGAAAATAAAACAATTACGGTCGTACCTTAACTTACAAATCAGAATCACCGCTTCAGACGGTCGTATATTTAACGGAATTTTTATGTGCATCGACAAATATAAAAATATCATTTTGTCACAAACCGAAGAAGTTCGTGATGGTAATTTCCCTCCCTTTTTTTTTTAAAAAAAAAAAAAAGAAAAAACGGGGCTTTGAATTTATCTCAAAATCTTATTCTTATCTTTTCAATATAGATGAGAGGAGGTTCGTCGGACTTGTTATGATACCTGGAAAACACATTTTCAAAGCTGAAATTGAAGATCTAGATTCTGATATATATACATAAAATTTTATTGTTTACTTTATTTTTCTCACTGGTTAATTTAATTTTGTAAAATACAATAATTTCCGGTGCGTTTTATTACATATCATGATCATATAATATACATATATTACGATATTAGGTAACCTTAATTTTTTAGGGCTATGAAAAAAATGATTCTACGATAATTTCATTTCTATTTGTAAAAAGAAAAATCAAAAAAAAAAAATTATTATATAATTTTAATGTTTCTATTGATTTTACATAACGTATGTCTCTTCATCGAAATTGAATGGTTAAATAAATTATCTACCTTCCAACTTGACATTTCTCGTTGCAGAAGGTATGGTAACTGTTATCCCGTCTAGATCTTTTCTCATCACGATCTGACATCCTAATCGTGAACTGCATTCATAAAAATAAAGAGATCAGACTTGATTTACAAATATTCAAAAAGAAAAAATAATTATCACTGTAAATTTATAACATACGTTTCTGTTAAACCAAATGCAAGATCCAACATATCATTTTCTTCATCTGTCGGTTCATCAAGTTTCTCATAATACTTGGGTTCTACTATTACATGACACGTAGAACACGCTAATGATCCTTCACACGCACCTACATCCAATGAAAAAAGTATTGTTAAAACGAACATTCATAATGAAATTCAAGGAAGATTATGTTTTAAATATTGACAAACATTCTAAATCAATATCATGTGCCTGAGTAATGTCCATAATACTATCCCCAACATTGGCTACTATTGTTTTTTTATCGCCTTCGCGAGTAACGAAATTAATCGTTACCCTATGCGTTTAAAAAGTGAGATTCAAAAAAAAAAAAAAAAAACGAATTGGACAAGAGCATTAATGATCCAAAATGATCCTTTTGATAATATAAAAAAAAAAATAATAATTTAAATTTACCTACCCTTCCCCTTCTTTCGGCGGTGTGATTTCTTTATGGAAAGTCACTAAGCAAAAAAAGTTTTGATTAGCAGGAAGCTTTTAATATAATAATGCGACGAGTCTATACAATGGCATTACCTTTTGAATTAGTAAATTTCCTAATTTGATATATTGTCGCTATCGGATTTTTCGTCGTTTTATGAATTTTAGGAACATTCCATATTAATTGATTTCTAAAATTTTGCTTAGCAAAAGTATTCATACACATAATTTGTTGTCGTTTACTATTACTGGATAAAGAAGTAAAACATTTAATGGAAAATCGGGAAAACATTATCAAAAATCCATATATTTAAGTTGCGAGATATAAAAAAAAAAAAATCAGTTTGCACAGAATATCATGTTAAGCTAAGCCACTTTCATCTAAATTACATCCGATAGATTATCCAATCAGATACCGTTAAATTTTTGCGCACGGACCAACCGAACCAACAGTTTGGGATCATTTTTAAAAATTTCCGCAACCATTTTATTTATCGAATTAAAAAGTACAAAAAAATTATTTTGACATTACATGTGAAATTACATTATAATTATGGAGTATTCTATACTTTTGAAATAAATATCGGAAAGTGTAAAAAGTTTGACAAAGAGATTCCATTTCTTCTTGACAGCAAGGTCCTAATTTCTTGTAAATTTCATAATTCTCGCCGGAGCTAAACCTGAGCTTAATCTAATTTTGATGTTTCACAAAAAACATCCATGCATAGGTTTCAAAGGGAAAAAAAAAAAAAATGAACGAGTGAATAAACATTTGCTCTTACTCCAAAGATTGACGGGAGGTTTTTTTTTTTTTTTTTTTTTTTTTTGACAATTATCCCAAATTCGTTCTTTCCTTAAGTAATAACGTGAAGAAATTGTAAAGCCAAAACGAAATGTAGATTTTGAATAAACGTTTTCAAGCACACAAAAGCTCAGAGAATAATATACTTTATAAAGAATAGGTGGTTTGTTGAAACGCCATCTGCCCCACTTACGAAATTCTGACGAATTTAATTGTTTACGAATGGGTAGAATTTAAAATTTTATAGATATTATATTTACACATTATTAAATAAATAAAGTATATAATCGATTATTGTTATGCGATGTATTCAAATGCAAAAAAAAAATAATATACAGGAAACAATACACATAAATGTAAAAAGGTGGTAATATAATATCCATATTGTTTGTAATTTACAAACTTACCTATTCAAACTTAAAAGAAATAATATTTTCATTGTTTAATGATTGTCACCGGGCAGCATACATGTCTCACCAAATATTCACTAGTTGAACTCAACACAATCTAATTTAATAAAATGATCATATCTTTAGTAATCGCTTTATGATCCAATCAAAATTTCTATTTTTCGTGAAATAATGATTTGAAAACATACGGAAGATATTCGAGGGAATAACAAACGGACCTTTTGTAAGCCTTCAAGATTCCTTGATCCAATAATTAGCAAATTCGGTTGTTGTAGAGAAATATATTCGGTTAGAATTTCCCCGACGGTTCCATGACTTTCGTGTTCAATAAAATCATATTGTACATCCGGCTGAATGAATAATGAAAGAAATTAATTCTGTCTTGTGGAAAAAAAAAAAAAAAAAAAAAGATCTTTAAAATAAGCAAGCATACGTAGGTTTTATCGTATGTCTTCAAGTAATCTCTTAATTTACCCACAGTCTCTTTTGCATCAAGAAGAATATCAAGATTATTTGCTTTGTCTAGATTATG